TAATAAACAGGGTTAAAAGATTAAGAATCCCTAGTATAAGATACCCTATGAGACAGCCCAATGACATTAATGATTAGATATTTTCCTCTAACAGGTATGTGCTTAAAATTACATATTCACCCAATTGAAATAAATTCTATGAGTCCTACACTGTGCTAAATATTTTACAAATACTTAATCCGCATGCATATGCATATGTATAGACATACACACACAGAGCGCAGGTTTAAATGATGAGTCAGCATCTATTGAGTAAGTATCACATATCAGATAATGTTGTTTGGTTGTTTTTCAGTTTGCTTTTAGATATGGCCTTTCTGTGTAGTCCTGGATGCCTGGCACTCACTATTTAGATCAGGCTGGCCTCAAACTCAAACTCAAAGATCTACCTGCTTCTTTCTCCTTAGCACTGGGATTAAAAGTGTGGTGCCACCTCACCCAGCCTTGTCTTTGGTTCTTTAATAATAATGTATACCCCTAAAAAGAAAGACAAAACAAAACAAAAAAAAAACCTCTTTAAAAAAACAAAACAAAACTCTGTTAAACATGTATTTGCTTTTTCTGCACAGTAATCTTCCCATTGTCAGTGGTCAGGTGGAGTGCTGGCTTTGTACATAGGTTCAATTCCTCAGCACCTCCTAAGCTAGTCAGTGGCAAGCAGGCCTGTCATCGCTTCAGGAGGGGAATTTCAAGGTCCAAATTTGAGAAAGGAACTGTAGCCTAGGTGGGCCAGGAGCTGCCTGAGGGCTAAAGGACCTGTTGGATGCCTTCTCTTTGTCTAGCTTTCTTCTTCAAAGCCCTTTAAGGTACCATGGGGAAATGCCAGATGATGATCCTAATGAACATGTAAATTCCATTTCAGATGCCAGTTGTAAGTTCCAGGTTGCAACTTGTACTTCTGAGTGCCTGGCAATAAACTAGGAACTCCCACAACTTCCTCCTTAGGCTCTCTGATTCACTACAGTGGCTCACAGAAGTCAGGAAGGCACTCAGCTTATCATTACTAGTTTACTATAAACCATACAACTTATTAGTAAGCAAATGGAATAAGTAGGTGAATAGACAGCTGGGGAGGGCTTGATGGAGCTGCCATGTCCTTTGCAGGTACACTACTCTCTTAGAACTTCACCAGCTCATTAAGCTCTCTAGTCCCAGCACTTAAGGGATTTTTTTCTTTGTTTGAGGTTCCATTACACAGACATGGTTGATTAAATCATTGCCTGTCAGTGACTGACTAAATCCCCAGTCCTCCTTACCTTCTTGGAAGTTGGGAATAGAAGCAAAGGTTGAGTCTTAATCATGTAGTTGGTTCCTTTGGCAACCAGTTGTCAGCTTCTAAAAGTGACTTCGATAACATAAACTTAGGTATGGCTGAACCCCACTTAATATAAATAACAACAAAAAAAAGGATCCTCTTTGATTAGGAAATCCAAGAGTTTTAGTAGTTTTGTGCCCGGGAGTGATATGAAAACCAAATATTTCTTAGTCATATTGAAGTATCACAATCCCATAATGACCCCACGTGGTAATTATTAATATTATTTTCTGATTAATATGATCCCTGAATGACAGAAAAGTGTGGTAACTTGCCTAGAGTCACAAAGCCATGGAACAGCAGTCAGGACCTACCATCTTTTGAGAGGGACTTTGATGGTTACATCTACACTTCTTGAAGTCCCTTATTACCTATGAAACATTTGTCACAGAAGCCAAACTTGTGGAGAGACTTGAAAGACCACTAATGGTTTCCCAGGAAGGAGTATATATGGAAGAAAGGAAGAGGAAAAAAGGAGTGTGCTAGGCTAGAAGGGGCCTGAGCTAAAGACATGCTATGCATCTTTCTGTTGGAAAATTATGGAAGGGTATGGTGAGAGAATCAAGTTTTGCCTGTTTTATGGGCAACAAAGGAATGGGAATCCCAGTCCCCATGTATAGGGGAAGGAAGCCCCACCTGTTTCCAATGGCTATCCCCTTAGCCCTGTGCTAAGTCCACAGGAAGGGCTCTCAGGACTTCTGTGTGCTAGAGTAGTTAAAACTGCCCTGATTTCCTCAGAGCCACAATGTGCACGCTGAAGCTCTTCCTGTCCCTAATCATGTCTCTGGCACCATCTCTTTGGAGCTAGAAACTGTTAAACACCCATTTTAAAAACTTAACAGTGTTGGTTTTTTTTCCCCAGTTTATACTTGTGACTTATGACTCAGTTTAGTTTTCTTCCATTTTGAGTTTTCCTGTGGAACCTGAGGTCATTTTATCTTTCTTATGCTTTGTAGGCATATTGCTTTGTGACCTGACAAAAGCTTTTGTTAGTTTGAGTTGCTGCCTTGTGTTTTGTAGGAAAACTTGACGTGAATTTTGATTTAGGATTAGGTTGAATTTCCACTAATTTCTGAAATGGCCTTTCCTATTTTGTGGCTATATATTCATGGCAAACAGCATTCTCTATATTAACAATTATAAAATTAATATACTGAACTGAAAAATGTTGAAGATGTTCTGTATCCTTAAGTGTCAAATAATCAGCCAATATTTACACTAAAAGAAGCATATCTATCTCATTAGTATGAAAATTAATCTCATCTTTAGTACTAGAAATGGTAAATTATATGTATATCAAAAACTGTTTTAGGATAAGTTTATGATTTATTATCAGTAAGTATTTGCATTTTATATGTATAATATTCTCAGGTGAAAGTAGGACACAAATGGAAAAAAAGCTTAAGAAGCCCTGATTGTAATGTCCTTGTTGATGCTTATAATTTTCTTAGGTTTTTCTTTAGTAAAATTTTATGTGAGTGGAGAGATGGCTCCGCAGATGACCACTTGCTGCTCTAAAGATCCTAGTTCAGACACTCATATGGCATGGCTCACAGCCATCTGTAACTCCATCTGTAGCAGAAGATCCATGGGTACTAGCACACATGGGCGCACCTGTGTGTGTGCGCACACACACACACAAACACACACACACACACACAGGCATACACAGGGTGGGGGGTAATCTTTTTAAAATACGTATGAAGATACATTTCCTTTTTTTTTTCCACAGAAAGGCTACCTACCACTCTTAGGCTCAATCATACAGCATTTTGAAATCTTTCTAGCGTTGTCATTAGTTAACCATCACTCAGAGGAACAATTTTTGTCAGAAAATGGAGACTGTTTTCTGTCCCTTTTCTGCCACCTATTTTTATAAACATATGAAATAAAATTGGTCTGTGCAGTTTCTCCTTAATGTATATTTCTTATCTGCAAAGGGTGTATTTAGCTAGACGATTTCCATATCCATTGGTAAGCATTCTTCAGACACCATGGCAACTATTTTAAAAATGATTTTTGATGGTGGAATGTTGGAAGACATTGCTGGCTGGTCAGAGATTTCAGCCTCCCCATGGCCTAGCAACTTATCTTAACAGGTAAAATGGAGCTTCCTCCCTCCAGCAGAGCTTCCTGCATCTACCTGCCCTTATCTGGAGAATGTCCCTGGGCCTGGAGGACTGACCTTATCTAGAGCTATCCCTAAAACCAGACTCCCAGGTCATCTTTAGCTTGATCCTTGGCACAGATCCCTGCTGAGAAGACATGTGCTAGGGGCTCTGCTATAGAACCCTACTCTACTGCCACATACTAAGTCCTGTATTAGTAGTGTGCCACTTAATACAAATTAGGGTTTGTTCCCCAGGCTTCCCAATCCTATATATTCCTTATATTCCGGAATAAAATTGATCTTATTCACCGAAAACTGTCTTGGAGCAGGTGGGGGGAGGGGGCTGTCTCCTTCCTTGCTTATGGGACTTGTACAAAGCTTACTCTGTCACCTCTTCTGCCTCTACACTTGGTGGCCAATAGGTCAAGAGGGAAAGGGGAATTTGAATACTGTTTGATTATGTCATATAGAAAGCCATTCTGTATGCTTATCTTCTCAAGTAGCCCTGACTAACTTTGTTACTGCTTTAGAATTATACTCACTGTGATTTAGAATTACTTGTAATTTTGTTTCAAGTTTTAGTATATATTGCTGATTGCTTCTCACTTCCAGACTTGCTTCTCTCTGTAGTGTGAAGAGGATGATGATTAAAAATAGGTGTGTTTCACCAACAGTTTGTACCTGGAGAATCTTTCATCTAGCAATATAGAATCCAAGCAGTACTCTCAAACTGCTGAAGTCAATTTACTGTTTTATATTAGTTGTACTGTTTATAAAATAATTATGTAGAAAAGACATCTTAAACCTCAAATGAATGTCTGATCTTACAGATATTGAAAATTAAGTGGTGAGGATATTTGATAGGAATGACAAAGAACAGGCTACTTCATAATAGATTAAAATCCCATAATTGCTACTCTGTCTCTTATTTTTCTGGCCACTGGCTCATAAAGCTAGTAGAGATATATGTTATCTGGAAACTTGGGCTAGGACCACAAAGAGCCCTTGGGCTAGTTTGTCAGAAAATTTAGCATTGTTCATCTAGGTCAACATTGGGAAAACCTGGAATGTTCATTTTACACAAGCTTTCTTTACTATTGGCAATGCACAATTTTTGCTTGTAATTATCCTGAAAGGTACTTGGAGGGAAATTAAAAGAGATTTTATGTCAATACTGGCTTCGTCTACCCACAAACATTACTAGACCTTTTTACTTTGGGAATTGATTTTTTTTTCCTTTTGTGTTTGTTTGATTTCTGCTAGAACATTGCCTCACTCTATCTCTGCATGTGTGGTTCTGAGCATTGGAGTCAACACCCTGTGCATGTTACATAAATCCTGTACCACTGAGCTGCATCTTTGAAGCTGTAGTAGTGTGATGTGCTCCACTGTAAGCTCTGGCTCTGGGAAAGTTGTAGTTTTGTGAGCCCATGTTCAGAGCAATTGCCTAGCTTGTGCAAGGCTCTGGGTTCAATTTTAAGCACTGCAAAACACAACAGTTAGAGTTTCAAAACTAGTCTTTCCCCTTCTCTCATTGCCCCTTTTCCCTAATCAGTGTTCTCTGGTTTTTTGTAGGATGGCCTGGATTCTGTTGGAGGAAGCAGGACAAAGCAGGAGAGTGCATGGATATTCAGGCTGTGGTACAGCTTTGATCACAAGTATCCTTTTGTCTTCTCCTAAGCTCAGGAGACATTGGTGACAACATCCACTTATTGAATTGTCAGTGAGTGACACTCCTGATGAATAAGGAATGGTGTGTATGGGACACGTATCCTCAGGCTTCTCTTGGGACAAGATGATCTTTCAACCATAGGTGTCAATGGTGGCATCTCTCTAGTCAAGAGGAATGTGGACATTTCAGCAGAGTGGGTAACCCCTAGCCTGGAAGACTCGTGTGGCTTTCAAAAGCTTTGTGTTCAGGGAATGGTGTCTTTGTAGGTAAATTAGTTAAAATTGTATAGTGGCCTGCCCTGAAGTCAGGAGGGGAAGGGAGGATTGGGCCATCCTTGTGGTGAGGATGAATCCTATTGGTTAAATTTGGCCAATTTAATCTTATACTAACACTTAGGGCCACATGCAGGGAACATACTGTTTTTGTCACTTCAAATTAAAGACAAGACAGTTAAATCTTCATGGTATTTTGTATTGATGTAGTGATCAAATGGGTAGATGGCTTATTATACATATTTTTGAAGACATTGAAAATATTAAAGCAATATTTTCCCAAAGCATAAAAGATGAAGAGAGACATACCCAAATTATGTCAAAGCCAGCCTGAGCTATCTAAGACCCTGTCTCATAATAAACACACTCATTTAACATTAAACCAGCCATGAAACACAAAAAACTGGCATAAAGCAGTATTTTTCATCTTCACCAAGTGTAGCCACTGCCAATTTTTTCAGTTTTTTAATTTTAGTAGCATCTAATGATTTTCTTTTTCAATTATGTATAATATAAATACATAAACATATTTGTTTACATATTTATGTAAATATATTTTATATTATATACATATATAATAGAAAATAATATATATATATGCACACACACAAATATATGAGGTTATACAGTGTATACCTTTTTACATGTCTGGTTTATTTGTATGATTCGTCCATGTTGTGTTTAGCTCTAGTTCATTTGTTCTTATTGATGCATAGCATTTCATTGTATGAGTATTCCACAATTTATCATTCTATTATTAATGAACACCAGGTTGTTTCCCACTTGAAGAAAACTTCTGTGAACATTCTTATTCATACATGTCTTTGATGTTCTGTGTGTATGTTTTCAGTGGGACTGTACCTAGGAAGAAAATTGCTGGGCCATGAGACATGTGTAAGTTCAGGATTAGAAGACAGTTTTCCAAGGTGGTGCTACTATTTCAAACATTCCTAGTGTCTGAAAGTTTCAGTTCTTCCACTTGTTGTTGTTGTCTTTTGAGTTTTATTATTGTATATTTTACTGTGGCTTTAATTTATATTTATGTAACAGCTCATAGAATTGAGGACTTTTCACACATTTACTGGCCATTAACTATGTTCTTTTATGAAATGCTTATTTACATTTCTTGCCCATTTGTCTATTGGGCTATCTGCATTTTCTTGCTGATTGCTAAGAGTTCTTTATGTATCTGAATCTGTACCCTCTGCTTTTCATATATGCTAAAATATCTTCTTCCACTTTATACCTTATCCATTCACTATAAATTAAATTTTAAATTAAATCTTTTGAAGAACAGAAACTCTTATCCCTCACCCTGACACAGGATTTCTCTATATAACAGCCCTAGCTGTACTGGAGCTCATTCTGTAGACCAGACTGGTCTTGAACTCACAGAGATCTACCTGCTTGTGCTTCCTGAGTGCTGCGATTAAGGGTGTGCACTACCACCACCCAGCCTGAAGAACAGAAACTTTTAATCTGGTTGATTGATCCAGTTCTTGTTAGTATGTTTTGTGTGCTGCTCCAGAAATGATTGCCTGTCTCAAAGTCATAAAGCCAATCTCCTAAATTATCTTTAGAAGCTAGATACTTTATCTTCTGTGTGTATGTCTTCTTTTCCTGAGTGATAAACATGAGCAAGGACAGCATCACGAGATAATTTGAGATGCTCAGAAGGATGTCATCTTTCAGAGATGATTTACAGATTTCAATTTAGAGCTGCTCTGCTGCTAGACCAAATCAATAGAGACTCCAGGTCTCCTTAACCCAGTCAGCAAGAAAGGTAATTTAAAGATGGGTTCAGTTCCTGTGAGGGTTAGTTTCTCTTTTTGCATTTTCATCTAGGGTTCCAACCTTAAGCTTGGGCTGTTGACCTCTTTTTCTTCAGTAGGCCCTCAAATTCCAGTCTGTCACATCTGAGCATGCCAGATTCTCTGCTCAGCTTCTCAGTTTGTCTTGAGGGGAACTAGGGCTCACAAAGTATGGAACTCACATATTTGCGTAGAGGGGGATTTTTTCCATTGGTTTCAGTTCTACTGGACAATTTTTCTTCTCCTACTGGATCCCACAGCTGCTTAAGAAATAACTGTTCTGAGACTTAATATAAATTACAATTATTTATCCAGTTGTTTAAGTCTCTTACTGGCTGCTCTGTCTTAATTGTTATCCCATTTCTATTAATCCGTGTTATCTTTACATGACCTGGCTTACTGATGATGCCCAGGTGGTCTGCCTCCATGACGGCTACATGATGGCTCTCCTTTCTCTTCCTTTCCCCACCTCATTGTTCAGAATTCCTGCCTAGCTAAATTCTGCCTGTCCAATAGCCAAAACAGTTTTAGTCATCAACCAATAAGAAAAACATATTCACAGCATATAGAAGGACATATCCCATCATATTTGGTGTTTCCTTCCCAAACTCCAGCCCTCTTCACTACAGCCCTCTTCACTGCCTTAGTCACTCTCTGAAGCCATCAAGCAAAGGATTTTGCCTTGTTTAATTTTCTGTTCTGTAGGTTTTCTGAGTGTTGTAGTTAATGTTTGCTAATAGCTGAAACAGAATTTCCAGGGATTTATTTATAGTCATGTGAGTTTTTTCTAAATGAGAACATTGAAGAACATCTATAGAAAGACAAATAGTCAAGTGATAATTGATCCTTTGAAGAGGAACAGAAGTGAGTTTCAAAGTCCCATCTGGATCTAAATTTAGAGAATTTGGGGTTTCTACTTAATTCATGAAACAGAAACTAAAGCAGGCATAGTCTAAAGAATTAGATGAGGAAGTTATCCATGATTCATTCTATCTCTACATCATCACAAATCCAGAAAAGAAAAAAAAGAGTTTTAATGTTACCAGAAGAGAATTTAAGCAGTTTGGGCAGGCATGATATAGTAGTGCACACCTACCTGTACCCATGGTCCTTAAGCAGAAGGAACATCAATTCAGGATGAGCCTAGACTCCATAGTAACTTTATGGCCAGTTGGGATTATAGTGAGTTGGAGACTGTCTTAGTTACTTTCCTATTGCTGTGGTAAGACACCATGGCCATGACAACTTATAGAAGGAAGAATTTATTGGGAAGATCAGAAGGTTAGAGTTCATGACCATCATGGTGGCAGGTAGGCAGGGTGCTGGAGCAGTAGCTTAGAGTTTACATGTGATCCATAAGCATGAGGCAGAGAGAAAGATCACACTGGGAATGGCATGGGCTTTTGAAACCTCAAAGCCCACTGCCAGTGACACACTTCCTTCGACAAGGCCACCTTGTCGAAAGATTTCTTTCCAAACATTTCTGCCAACTGGGGACCAGATATTCAAATATACGAGCCTCTGGGGGCCATTCTCATTCAAATCATTGCAGAGATCAACCTAAGCAACATGAGACTGCATCTCAAAAAAAAAAAAAGAAAAAAAAAAAAAGAGTTTGAGTTGAACATGATGATTCCCATAGGTTTCAGGACCTCCTTCCCCCACATTTTAAGATGTAAGAAAGGCTGAGTGCCCACATACTCTCCATTCTTTGCCCAGGTCTCACAGAAATCATAAAAGAGGTAGTTTTGGTTACTTGAAAAGCCAAAGAAAGGTAGAAGGAATTACAGTACACAAAATAGAGTCAAAGATAATTGTGAGTCTTAGCCAGTGTGCTTAGCTGATTAATTCATGTGTGTAGTTGGGAACAGCTATAGTGGTTCCTTCTTGTCAACAGATTGACTAGTAGCTGTTAGTTTTCCCTCAGTCCTTAGACATCTAGAGAAAGTAGAAAACTTTCACAGGGGGAGGGGTGTTAATAAGGAAATATCTTGGGGACAACAGATTTCTCCACCCTGGGTAACCTTCTGTTTTTTTTTTTTTTTTTTTAGGGTTTTTATTTTGTTTTTTTTTTTTGGTTTTGTTTGTGTTTTATTCAGGACAGGGTTTCTCTGTATTGGTTTGGAGCCTGTCCTGGAACTAGTTTTGTAGATCACATTGGACTCGGATTCTCTGTTTTTGTTTTTTTAACACTGTAATAAGAGTCCCCCTCCTACCTGATGACATGAGGGAGTGAGGACATTGAAATAATCAATTACAGATGTTTACTGTTAAAGGGAGCGGAGACACTGAATAAACTATTACAGATGTTTACAGTTAAAAATGTCTAACTAGGCATGATGACGTAAACCCATACGTAAGTTCTGGGCCAGCACAGTCTATATATTGAGTTAGAGACCAGCCTGGACTTCAGGGTGTGAGACATTATCTCAGAAGGCAAAAAAACAAACAAAAATCATAAGAAACATCCAAAATATTTCTTTATAGAAATAAGGGCAAGTTATTATAAAATAGTTCAAAAAGAAAAGAAAATCTTAGGAATTATAAATTAGTTTTATGGCTGGGTATGGTGATGCATGCTTATAATCTCAGCACTTGAGAAACAGGCAAGAGAATCAGGAGTTCAAGGCCAGCCTGGACTTCATAAGACCCTGCCTCAAGTTTTTCTAAAAATACACCTCCAATAATGAATAGTTGTACATGACAAAGACAAAATTGTAAATTTGGAAAATAAAGTTGGAGGAAAAAAAGCTTCAAGAATTAGCAAGAATTCAGAGACATTTTGAGAGGAGAGTGATGGTCCACATCACTTAGCCTCCACAGGAGTTAGTTCTAACTCGCATGGATTTTCCCAGGTTCTAATGGCAGATAACATGTATAAAAGTGTATTCTCTAGTGAAAGTGTAAAATCCAGTGTGAAGCTCCACAACTTTAGAATTGCTATTCTAACTATGCAGACGCTCATTCTCATGAACTTTATTTTGGTGTGTGATGATTTTTATTTGTGAGTTCTTTATAATCAAGTTTTAATTAAAGTGATTTTAAAAGAAATTAGATATTGTTTTTAAAATAGAGAGTAATAAAGTATATGTAACATGAAAGCAGAAGCAGAGACTATTTGGGGGAAGTAGGGAACCAGCAAAAGTAGGATAGGAAGGTTGGGGGAAAGGGATGAATAAGAACAAAGTAAAATGACATATATTCATGAAAATGCCACAGTGAAATACATTGCTTTGTTTGCTAACTTAAAATATAAACACATTTTAAGAAGCTGCATATACATCTGCATACATATTTTAATTGTTCCAGGATTTTCCGGCTTGAGCCAAAAAGGGCTTGTTTTTTAAGTGTCTAAAGCAGAGAATAGAAAGGCAGCTTCTGGCCTGGCCCTTGACATGGTAGAGATTGAAGCTCTTGCTACCTTGCTAGCTAAAAACAGGAGAGAAATGACTGCTCTGTAGGGTTCCACATCCATCCCTGTGCCTGCTCTTAAAGCCAGCAGTCACACAGCAGCTTGTTTTGTTTGCAAAGAGCTCTAGTAGAACCCTTGCTTCTGTCTTTTAATGAAGTGTTATTCCATTATTTAAAAGAGTTAAATAATTCCCAGCTAGAAGCATACCTCAGTGTCATCTACATAAAGGAACCAAATTAGGTAAGTAAGACATGAACTCTGATGATTCCAGTGTTCTTTTTGCTTGCCTGCTTGCATGCTTTCTTGGTTTGGATTGATTGTTTGGGGATTTTATTATTTGAGACAAGCCATTAAACTCATTATCCTCCTGTCTCCCAAGTGCTGGGATTCCAGGTGTATACCGTTGTGCTTGACTGAATCAATTCAACATTCTTTAACTGACTATTAGAAATCATTACCCTTAGAGTTACACCATGGAGGTATATCTTCACCTTCTGTTCCTATAGCTATAAAGATTACCTGTTTTGTACTGAGCAAATGGGAGGCAGGGAGGCTTGTGGGTAGATTGTAGGATAATTTGTTACTCGTTGGGTTTCAAAAAATGCATTCTGTTTTGGGTATATTTTCATTGCAACCATTTTTCCTTAATGCATTCTTTAAAGTTACTTGAAGCCCATTCTCACCCACAGTGGTCCCCCATTAACTACCACTCTCCCAGCCTGGTGTGGCTTGCTAGCTCGATGTCTGACTAGTCCCCAGGTGTATGATGTAAGTACTGCATATAGGTGCTGTGATCCTGCTCAATACGTAGTCTCTTCCTGAGGAAAAAACACCATACTCCAAACTCTAGATCCATAGATGTGGCTCACCTAATAAGATATATATATATATATATATATATATATGTGTGTGTGTGTGTGTGTGTGTGTGTGTGTGTGTGTGTGTGTGTGTGTGTTCATCTGTTTGGCATAGTAACAGGGAAACCTTTTAACTGGGTTATATGGCTTTCCAGTGTGGGCAGCTGTGATTGGGAATCCAAGTGACCAGATTGCAGTTCAAGCCCTTACAGGCTACTGAAGTTTTTGTAATTGTACCATGGGCCTACTAGTGCCAGCTGGTGCAAGCATTAAATAAAGTTCATCAAGACACACCACAAACCACAAAGCAGCACACCAAGTTAAGGATTCCTTTTATTTATTGGTTTGGTTAGGTCTTCTCTTCCCATTTTCTGGTCCTAGAAATGGAGTCATCACACTTAGGAAAAGAATGCCCCTGTCATGCATGTCTCAGACTTAGGGCTGAACTTGAGCTCTCAATGTGGGTTGTAGGGCAGATAGGTTGGAAGAGCAAGCAGACATCTACAATTGAAGTAGTAGGAAGGAAGATAGAGCTCCCTCCATCTCTGTCTCTCACTATCCCAAGGTGATAGAGTCTTTGCCCTGAGGGAAAAGGGCTTAGATTTGTGTTCAGCTCATAGCTGCCAATGGCTCATTTCATTCTCTGCACACTGCAAAAGAGCAAATGCTGTGGCACTGAGGAGCGTAGAATGTCAGGGATAATGCAGGCTGTCCATGGCCCCACCATTGGTAATGGACAAAACTGAGACCCTAAGACAGGTCTCCAAATAAGTCGTCATCAGTAATTTGCAGTTGCTTTCATCAATGATGAGAAAGCAGAAGGTCAACCAAGGGCCCTCAACAGTGGGGTCAGGAAACTTGGTACACATTCAGAAAAGATGCATGACAGAAAGATGTTTATGCCATAGCTAGCAGATAAGGGCAACCATACCAAAAGAGCCAAGATGAAAGCAGAGTTCTTAGATGCCATGTTCTCCTTTTGATAACAAGGATTATAGCATCTGAAACTCAGTGCTACTGTGCACTGGGAGAGACCAATGCTAAGCTTCTTACTCATCCCCCTTAGGGGAAGGCAACTATTGAAAAGGTGACAGAGAGGCTACCATTAAGTGCCTGCCATACAAGCATGAGGAGCTCAGTTTGGCTCCCCAGAACTCCATAAAAAGCTGGGCAGGTTTATAACCTCAACCCTGGAACTCACTGGCATGATTGCCTAATCAATAATTGAGCTCTAGGTTCAGTGAGAGAACCTGTCTCAAAAGATAAGGTAGAGAGAAATCAAAGAAGACACCAATATCGACCCCTAGCATCCATGTGCAGGTGCATGCACATATGCACATACCCACATGAACATTCAGGTCACATGCAGGAACACAGGATACAGAACTGTGCATCTGTAAAGCATCTAGCTGGGCTGTCTTTTGGGAGATTTGTTGTCCCATGGAAGAATATCATTGTGCCTCAGTCTTTAACTCACACATCTTAAGGATGCCTGAGTCTTCCAGCATCCCCAGGCCCTCTTCCCCTATACAAGTGACACTTCTTCTGTGACCCATGGAATAGACTACTTCAAGTTATAAGAAAATGGGCCTTTGGGGATGTTGCTCAGTGGAAGAATGCCTGCCTAGTGGGTTCCATTCTCAGCATTGGGAGTAAAAAGGCTGTAATGGGGCATTTAAACACAAACTTCAGCCACTTTTTAAATACCCTCTCTAATCTGAAACTTACTAATTTCCCCTTTTCTCAGAGATTAGGGATATTTAACAGTCTGATGATAGTGTAAACTCAGTAAGGTTTTTACAGTCATGGAAACCGAATATGTCTTTCACCATTTCAAGAGACTACTCAAGGTTTTGTCTATGTATAATGTTTGGGCTCTGAGCTCCGCACACCCATCTAATCTTAAATGACCAAGACAAGTGCCAGCCTTGATGATGACCATTTGGGCCAAGGTTCTTCTGCCCAGCATCTCAGCTACCTCTAGACATGGCAAGGCTTCCCGATGAGTGAAAGCAAAGTTAGTATTATCAAAGTATTATCAATTGAGAAATCAAAGTTGAGAGAGCTAGAGGGGCTTTCTCTAGTTAGTGTCCTGTAAGGGTTGCTGAGTTGGTGGGTCTCATGGCCATTTGACACCTGTTTGTGTGTGGTCCCTACTCATCATCTATAGGATACCTTTAATGGGTAGATTGTATTTGGAGAACTCCGAAGTATTCATCTTCCACACTAACCACTAACCACAACTCACTTATGTTTCAAGTATACCTTGTACATACCTAAAGTTAATTTCATATTTATAATAATTTTGTACATGAAACAAAATTTGAACCATGAGAATTGTGGCATCATGTCATAATGGCATGATAAAACCTATTATTTTTACAATGAATAAAAACTAAAAATGTGGAAATACTTACTACTCAAAAGTTTGGACGTTGGATCAATTTAGACTTGGAACTTTTGTACTAAAGAAGCTCAGCCTATGTTAACTGAGTACCACTTAGGAAGGCAAGAAGAAAAGAAAAAGACTTTGGCCTTGGGTGGTTTATCATCAAGATGAGGAGTCCACAGGCCAACGGGTGGGGAGGGTGTACCAATAGCTTTGTGAAAGGGGATGGATAGAGGAGGCTCTGATGTCTAGAGGACACAAGACTTCAGATGAGTTTGGAAGGGCTGATGGGAAATGATAAAACAGACATCTGGGGTGTTCTTATACTCTTATTTGCCATTTGAGAAAGCCCTTCACAGTATTGGACAGACATTAGCGCAGACGAACAAAGCCATGGTTTTCTTCGCTGTGCTTGTGATATCCACTGGAGAATGCCAAAGTCTATCTGAACCACACTGTCTCCTGGCTCCCCCCACCATCTAGTAGCTTCAAGGAGTAATGGCCTTGTTAAGCCTGCCTTGTTTAGTCTTCTCTATTTTACTACACCCATTTCCTAGTATGAAATGCCATTCCAGACATTTTTCTTCCTTTGTTTTTTAAATTTTATGTGTATTAGTAAAGCCTTCATGTATGTCTGTGAAGGTGTTAGATCTGCTGGAACTGGAGTAACAGACAGTTGTGAGCTGCCATGTGGGTGCTGGGAATTGAACCCAGGTCCTCTCGAAGAGCAGGCAGTGCTCTTAACCTCTGAGCCACCTCTCCAGCCCCCTGGGCATTTTTCTGACCCACTGATTTTTCACATCTCCTAGGTGGTTCAAAGTAGGCTGGGGGCAACACAAATTCTAACTCTACTTCCTGTCAACGGGACAACATTAGGCACATTCCATGAGTTCTCACAGAATAGGTTTCCTACTGTGAGCCCAGTGTTCATAGCCTTCATTGGTATGAAAGCTTGTGTGAGGTTTCCAGCGGGTATTTAATAGAGGCTCAACAAAATACATTATCCCCATCAATCAGTGGAGGGAAAGCAAGGAGGGAATCCTCCCTGTGGCTTACTCCCATCCCTGCAGACCTGGAGACAGGCTTGCTTGTATATAAACAGGCAGCAGGCCCACCCAGTAGACCTGCTCAGATGGCAGAGAAGCAGAGCCTATAAGAAGGGTTTATTCATGCCCTTCTTGGAACCATTATTTCTATGTGCACAGGGAAGCAGTGAATATAGCCAAGTGCTTTCTTCTCTAAGCTATCATGCATCTGAAATCTGATCTGCTTCTGGTATTCTAAATCCTGGCTTAGGCAACATTCATTTGATTGAAAACACTATAATTTCTATCCAGTGGGCATACCAAGGGCATAGGCAGTCAAGTTTCATAAAAATCCATTGTTGTTTTGTTGTTGTTTTTTAAAAATTTTTTTGAATGTATGTGTATTTTTAATGTATGTGTATTTGTGCACCTGAGTATGTGTGTATGTGTGTGTATATGTACCAAATGTGTGCAGGTACCCACTGAGGCCAGCATAGGGTTTTGCATCCTCTAAAACTAAAATCACAGGCAGTTATGAATTGCCTAATTTGGGTGCTAGGAATTGGACCTTGGGTCCTCTGCAAGAGCAGCAAGTGTTCTTACCTGCTGCCCTGTCTCTGCAGCCCCCAAATCCTTGGTTTTATGATAGGAATATTTGGATTAGGTTGGTCCAGCCCTGGAACATCTCAGGTTCCCCTTTTGTTGGTTGTGCCTTTCAGAATCAAGAGCCACTGAGAGAAGATGACTCTGATTTCATCCTGACGGAGGGTGACCTCACCTTGACCTATGGAGACAGCACTGTGACTGCAAATGGCTCCTCGGGCTCCTACACAGCCTCCACAAGTCTTGAGGGTGGTCGGAGAGTGAAAAGCAGCTCTGAGGAAGTGCTTGAGCGAGATCTGGGAATGGGAGATCAGAAGGTTTCCAGCAGGGGCACCCCCCTTGTGTTTCCACTGCAGGAAAATGCATGACTTCCCCCTAAGTCCTGAAGGATCAGGGAGGCTCTCATGAGAATGAGGATGGTCAAATGCCCCAGTGTGTTTGAGGTGTGGCATAATTGAGTTAAACTAACGCTTCTGTTTCATTGGGCCCTGAAACTATCATCACTTAAAACTTAACCCAAGACTCAGATGGTAAAGCTAAAATGTCTCTAAATTAAGACAATGCAAGCCTATTCCCACTTTCCCACATAGTAGTATGCTGTTTCAGAGTTAAACAAAACAATAGCATGCTTTTAATGGTTATTCACTTCATCTGCCTGCAGCATCTGACCATGGTAGGGCAGATAAGTGGCTTCAACTCTGTACTGTAATGCCAGTCTAGCTGGCTTAAGAAACATCAAGTTGGGAAGGCAAGTTAGACAAAAGACAGTGAAGACAGGAAACTGAAATCAGAATCCCAATGGTGCCAGATGCTCGTGTCAACCAGACTCAGACAGTAGAGCCCCTGGCTCAGAAGACTTACACAACTGCATCCTCCTGTCAGAGTTCTAGCTGTTCTATCTGTGTTACTCTTAGACTGAAGATTAGGAAGTGTGGCCATAGGCTGGGCATTAACTCAGTGCTAGAGTGCTTACCTGAAATGCACAAGACCCTGGGTTCCATCCCCAGCACTGCAAAAAGTGTGTGTGTGGGTTTCCAAGAGCACTTCAATGTGGGGAAAATAAGTCTAGTTCCTTCTCCAGAAATCTCTATGAAAGAGTTATTGAAATGTTTAAAACCAAAGGCAAATCCTGTTCTGTTGTTCTTTTTTAATTGATCTGAGGACAGGAGGTATTGAGAAACTGCTGATGACACCATTGCAATACTCACTTGACTTTGGAGGCTACCATGTAAGCCCATTGACCAGAAGGTAATTGGTAGGTTGAGGTGAATCTGCAATAGGGTTTACTATAACGTGGACATTGCTATTATTGAAGGAAGAGAAAGCAGGAAGAAATGGAAGAAGCCACAAACTATGGTTAGAAGAGATTTCAATGTAAAAAAAATAACCTGCAATGAAAAGATAGAACTCTTTATTTTTATTTTACATCTTTAGGACAAAAACTTCAATATGTATAATAACTACTTTTCCATTGGTACTATTTTCAACACCTAGAAAATGAAAACCATTCTGCTGCTTTTATTTTGATCTGAACTTTTGCTCCTAAAAATACATATCCAAAGCCCTGTAAATGGTTTAGCTTTTCTGCTCTTCCAGGGAAGACAGGGAAGTCCATAAAAAACAAATCAGGCCTTATAAAACTATAAGATGACTGTCATTCTGACCTCTGACACCTTCTTTTGTGAGATTTGATAACTCCAGGAATCAGAAGTGACTTACCTCCTTGTGTGTGACAGTTGCTGTCTCCTGAGCAACCTTCTTGTGGTACAGGGCTTGCTGCCATGTTCCACTTTTCTAATTTCTGAACCCTTTCTTCCAGCCTGACTTGGTTTACTTTCTTAAGCAATTATGTTTGTTATATTTAGCTATGTTCAGATATATAGGATTATTTCTGGTTACAGTCTGAAGACCCATCAAGTAAGCTGGAGAACTTCTGGACATGCTTTGAGCCTTCCTTTGTGTGGCCAATCAAGCTGCCCCAAGACAGTCCAAATCAATCAGAACTTCTTCAGAAGGCACTACAGATCTCCATATCTCCTGAGTTCTAGTGGTCAAAAAGTGCTGCGTTAACCAACTGTCTCTTTCTTCATGGGATGCCTTTTCCTTCAGTCCCACATGAAAACTGGATTCTGTAAAGCTGCTTCATCCGAAAATTCTTTTTATGGTGGTGAAGTAGTACTGGCACCACATGTAGTGAGCAGCTGCTGGAAATGCTGTTCTTTTGAGCATTTCTTTACATTGCTTAATCTGTAATTTCAGTTTCTTTTTAAGTCCACAGTCTTGTAATGAGATAACATCTTCATCATTCAAATCTTCTCAATGTATCATGTGTGACTTGGTTATCAGGTTTTCTGTGTGACGTCAATATTCTCCACTGCTTTCTTGTGTTGTTTTAAGCTGCTCCCTTGAGGCTTTACCAGAAAGGCCCCACATGCTTGCTCAGGTCAACTCCCCAATGTGATGACCCCACTAAAGAAACAATTCCTGTATCATCTGCCATTTCTTTGTGTTTGTTTTTGGGGGATGTAATTCAGCATTTTCCATCAGAATTTGTCCCTGATAATCAACTTATAATCATTCAAGTCAATAGTTTCCTCTTTGTTTCTGGCTTCTATTTTGCTCATTCTCTGGGAGCCTATGTTTACATCAACTCTCCTTGCAGAATTTATAATGGCTGTGGTTGGTTTTCATTCTTCCTGTTTGTAGTAAGTTGATGAGGACAGGCCTTTCTGTATTTATGCTCTTGTTCCTTTTGCATCATGGCTATACTGTATAGCTTAGTCTGCAACATCAGGTAGTAAATTCTGTATCTTCTCTTTCTCATTTTTTGGTAGATTCTTGTTCTTGAATCATAAGTCCCTCTCTCCTGAAGTCTAGACATCTCTTTTGAAGGATTCTAGTTGCTCCCTGAGTTGCTTAGCAGGTCTGCAGAGGGCCCATAGCACTTCCCAGTTTCAGATTCTGTGTTTTCCCATCTTCCTAAGCTGCAAGGTTCCTCCTGTGAAGTACAAGTAGCTCACCCAGAGGGTTCAAAACAGAATCTATACTTAATTCTCTCTTTGTCTTTTTATTCTTGCATTCTTCATATAATGAATGAAAACTAAAAGTAGTCAACTCTTGGTCAAGATATGGAACATTTTAGTCAATACTCTCTTCTGTGCATTTATGGTCAGAAAGGCATTTTCCACTGGGAATAAATTTGATTGAGACATCATTATTTCTGAGGTATAATGAGAGATAATTCTGCTTTCTGCCATCTGACCTGGAACTATGGCATTCATTCAGTTTCCAGTTACCTGAGGAACCCATTACAGCAATGAAAGTCTTAGAACAGCTGCTGTCATTCAAACATCTCCATCAAGGCCCCAGAGATGCAGAGTCTGTGCCACCTTTTCCAGCAGCCCTATAGGCAGGACAGGCACCAAAGGAAACAGGAAGGAACTGCTTGCTCCTGCACTGAAGACTTCCACTGTATTTAGTGGGGCCAGCTATGCTCCATAGCAGTCTTAAGACTTAGTCAGAACTTGAGATATTAAACTGATGCACGCATGCAGTATTAGTGGCTACATGAGAAACAAGAAGCAAAGTAATGGGGCATAACCCAGCAGAAAATTCTGTCTTCTATAATTTTAGGAATTTCTCTTGATACTGAGTGCCATGCAAAGAATGCTGTTTTCTTGGTGGAGAGGCTACTGCACCAGCTTAATATGGACATGGTTTGAAATACAGCATTTCAGTTTAAATTCTTTCTGGATAAGGTATCCTAATTTACCCACTCTTAAAGTAGGTAAAGTACTAAGAGAAATATTAAGAGTTTTCCCCATGTCTTACAGTGGTAGCAGTTTTGGTAACACAATTTCTAAAAGATACTTTTTTCATAACATGGCATTTTTTTCTCCTTATTGCATACAAAATAATGCCCACAAGCACTAAGACATCAATAACCATCTGAACAGCCTAGTCTTAGCATAATCATGTGGTATTGCTCTTAAAGGATCTTATCATCTTTATTATTTTGAAACATGGCCTTGATCTTAGCTTACAAAATGTGGAGACTCACTCTGACTTCCCAGGAGTTCTCAAAGATGAAGCTACCTGTAGAAGTTGTGTCCAGGCTGCGTGAAGAAAATTAGGGGTGCCACAAAGCTCAGAAACTGCCTGCTTCAAAGCCAGCTGTCTGGAAACCAGACTGGAATTGCTGAGTAATGGTCATGTTTGTGTGAGAAACTAATCGAAGTCATCTTTCAAACCTGTTGGTTGAGTTGAGGGAGATGACAGCTCTGAGGACTGGAATCTTCTAGATCAGCTATTACTTTTGTCTGCATATTACTTTTGTCTGGTCTTGAATTTAAAATTTCCAAGGTTGAGGATTTGGCTTAGCTATAGAGCACTTCCTGCCATGCCAAGGCCCTGGGTTCTATTCCCAAGTACTGAAATAAAAATGCCAGTGAAAGGTGTGGTACCCTCAAAATTTGGATTCTGTAGCTTCTGGGTGGAGCCCGGCATGCAGGGTTTGTTTTTGAAACTTCCAGTATTTCTCCTGTGCAGAAGGGTTGAATCTTTTGGATAAAGCTCATAAGGAACCCTTTAGAAGGTTAGGTCATTCCTTTGAATGACCCAATGAGTTAAGTGTTAGTGGCCAAAATAAAAACTGATTATGAATGCTGACTAGGCCACCATATAACTTTCATGCTCATTTTGAAGAATTCAAAGTTGTCTTCCATATGAAAAAGACTTGAAGGAGAGAGGAGGGTAACTTGAGGCTATGCCTGGATGAATTTCAAACTTAGTCATCTTTATTCCCAGTTGTGGGTGGGGAAGGGAGCTTTTGTCTGAGCTGCTGAGTAGTCCAACACAAAGGATTCTGGGAAGTTTTCCTTTCAACTCAATGTGGAATTAAATTAATAGTTCCTTTTTGTGGTCAAACTTTATCTTATTAGTTCACATGCCTTATAACAGGATAAGGGTAAATCCATTTACTGTGAGCAGCATAGGGAAGGTTGTGGTCACTGTTGACACATGTCAGCAATGGTACAACTCTGATATAAGATGAAACCCACCCATTCCTTTTCATAATGCTCCTGTGGGAACTACCTAAGAAGCCTAAGCTTTCCTGGAAGAGGTATTCTAGCACTTTAAGAAGGTTGTGCTTCTTCCTAGCAATGCCATAGAAAGGCCATACCCGCTCCATTCATCTAGGATGTTTCCTAGAGTGATAATGATGTCTTGGACCTAAACAAATCATGCTATGTTATCAAATGTCTCATCAAGCAAACAGCAAGGAGCACCCTGGGTTGGATCCTTTAGACCTCCAAATGCCTGTGGTTTCATAGAAAAAATAAGATCTCTTTTGAGAGGGAAAAAAGTTATCTGTATGTGAACAGTTCCATCTAGAGCACAGACCAGTTCCTTCCAAAACAAATGTCTGATTCACATTGCTCCTCCACAGCCTCTCCCTTCCTTGTCTCCAGTGGAAGAGAATGTAATCAGGCCAGATGCTCAGTGTGAACCATTGGTTCCCCAGGGCAGAAACACCACTGAGATAAGAGGACAATTGAGCCAGTCATCAGAGGTGCAGACCATCCTCTTGTAACCTGCCTCTTCCCAGTATGAAGTCTAAGAGAACTAAAAGTAACCCAGAACCAACATCATCATCCACCTAAAATGTCAGGGAGGGCTGCTGGGGTGGCATTTTGCTGAGCTGATGGTTATAGTAGGACACTTGGGTGCTTGAGAGTCTTATACCTGCCCTTTGATACTGACTCTTAAGTTGGGGCAGACCCTCTCCTGTGTGTTGAGTTGAGCACTTCTGTTGTTTTTTTAACTGAGTCTCTGGTTTGCTGGCAGAAGCTGCAGTGTTTTGAGGCAGTAAGTTGAATGAATCTAGTGGCCAAGAGTTTACTTTAGAAACAACACATCTGAATACTGCTTTTACCTGTTTGATACCTAAAATGACTTTACCCCTTTCAAAACATAGTTTGAACAATCCATAGAGAAATTTCCTAGGAGTGAGTGTGCTGACGTCAAACCAAAAAAGCACTCCTTGACAATTCTTTCAAAACAGGACCTATAAACAAACTTTTTCCTGCGTTCATAGACATTTGTCAAATTAGCAGGTATATCTTATCACCAAGTGCTGGAAAATTATAAAGAGCAAAATTAAAGTTTTTTATGTCCATTTTATTTTCCTAAGCAGGATATGCTATAATTGTGGCCCAGTTGGAACATGTGGGCAGCCATGTTTAGGTCACTGAAGCCTTGGGGAACACTAAAAGAAGGGTCTCTCTGTTGTGCTGCTTTTTGAGATGGCCTCAAGTGTGTATGAGAACACACAACACAGGCCATCATTTTCTTCTCGCATCACCATTAACAGGTCAGAAAAGGCTCTCTAAAGGCCCCTGTCTGCCTTCAACTCTTGGCCAGTGGAAAATTTGCCTTGCTGTATATGCTGAAGAAACAGACTAAAAACGAAGTGAATAGCACGAAGCACTGCAGGTTTGCTGTTGAAAGCACTTTCCGAAAATGACCATCCTGGTGTTCATGGATAGGTACCTGCAGGAATGTTTGGGGCTGCTTAGGTTATGATGGTTCTACTTGCAGGCTTTGGAGGAACAGACAATACTTTTTAGTTTTATGGGTATTCAATGTGTGGATATATAAATTAGTGCTGAAAGCACTTATTTAAAGTATAACTTCACGGTAGGGCCATTTCTTCCTAGGTTTTCCTTTCTTTTTTATCCTAAAGCCACCTGGTCCTTCTTTTGGGACATTTTACTATACCCACTAAGATAATGGAATGCAAAGACCATACAGATTTGCTGGCTAACTGGAAAGCAATTTTTGAAGCAGAATAGGGGAATTTTAACATGCATTGATGGGACTTTCTGGTGAACTTTTTATAGAGAGCCTACATAGTATATTTGGAGAGAATTTTATAGAAAACAACAAAGCGTGTTTTAACTGTGAAAATTAAAGACTTGGAATTATCTTCAACCTTTATGTGCAATAAGGAAAACAGCAGTAGGAACCCTAAAGTGCTCCCCCCTTGTCCCCTCACCTTTGACTTAATGTTTGCCTTTGGGTAGCTGTTTAGATTGCTATTGTAAAGCTAGTCTCGTGGTTTCCTGTCCTTTACTAATATTTAACATGTTTTTCTCAAAGCTTTCTTTCTTTCTTTCTTTTTTTTTTTTTACAAAATTCAAAATAAAATGATTAACTAGCTGAGCTAATGTGTTTTATGTTTTCAGAGTCTGCTCTGGTATATGTATCCAGTGTGATCTTATTTCCAGCATGTCTCTTCTGCTCACTGAGAAGTTACTTCTTTTTTTAGAATTGTTTCTCTCCAGGGGAATTTGTTCAAACTATAGTTGGCAAGATATACTTGGTCCCTGAGCAAATCCAACCCACAGCCTGTGTTTGTAAATGAAATTTTATTGGCATCCATTACACTAATTGCTTGGCATGCTATCTGGAGTTACTGTGTGCTACAGATAGAGAATCTGTGGCACATAAAACCTGAACTATTTACTGTCTGACCTTTTACTAAGAAGACCCTTGCCAATCCTTAATTTAGGTACTTTTAATTTTTCACCTTTGGGACAGGGTATCATAGAGGCTAGGGAGACGGCTCGGTGGTTAAGAGCTTTTGTAGAAGACCAGGAATCATTTCCCAGAACCTATACAGGCCAGCTTAGAACCACCTATAACTCCAGTTCCAGGGGATTCTATACCCTCCTTTGGCTTCCACCAGTACTTCATGAATATGGGCAAACATAATCTCATACAGGCAACCCCCCACACACACATAAAACTTTAGGGGGAAAGGAGAATAGGGTGTCATTTGGGTGTACTTATATACAACTGTCGACCAACACTTAGTAGGCAGCTTCAGCTGCACGGACAGGTTGACACTGAGGTCTGTAAAATCCATGGAGACGTCTTTTAGAGATTTTTAGAGTTTAAAGAAACAGTTTAAACTTCACCTCAGCCTGGGATTCTTCCTGCACCCAGGAATCTCACAGGCTTTGAGTGCAGAACCTTAAAAAATGCATCACCAGGAGTTGGCAGCATAAATCTATGAGACTGAAGGGTGTATACTTGACGTTGTAATTTAATAGTTTCCACAGAATGACTGCATAGAAATGGCTCAGTAGTTAAGAGCACTGGCTGCTCTTTCCAGAGGACTGGGATTTGATTCTCAGCACTCATGTCAGCTCACAACCATGTAATTCTTGTTCCAGGGGGTCTGATTTCCTCTTCTAGCCTTCATGGGAACCAGGCATTCACATGGTACATAGACATACATGCAGACAAAACACTCACACAAGTAAAATACAACTTAAGAAGAAAATTCCTGAACCCTAAAGACAGTTTCCTTCATGGTTCTTATATACATTTTTATATAGACTACCTTCAGTGAATTTATGCAATTGAGCCATTTCCCAAAATCTGCTTAGCAAAAACAAACAAAAAAAAAAAAAAAAAAAAAAAGAAAGAAAGAAAGGAAAGAAAATATCCTGTCTAGCATGATGCTAGAGGCATTTAACTGCATAGTTACAAAGCCAACTTGAAAATAAAAAATATTTCAATATATTACAGCTCTCCTGCCCCCAGGGAAAACTGAGTTTTAAAAAATGGTTCTACAGGAGGAGGGCTAACTGAAGGAAATCTAGACGAGGAGTCCTTTTGGAAACAATACCACCCAGACCTTTTATTTAATATGAAGTAATTTAATCATGATAGACATAACTGTACTTGGCCCTTATTCACACTGATGATTTTGTCCAGACATCTGCTGATGTGAAATGGAACCAGATCCCATCTCTTCTTTGTTGTGAGGGTGTCTTGTTGAAATGTCTCAAGCAGAGCCAAGTTCAGCCTGCGAACCAAACTTTTCCTATTTTATGGCCATAAATATCCACATTGCATTGTCACTTCCTTTCTGTAAACTTCATTTCAGCCAATATGTCTGTCATTACTTAACAGCTTGTGATGTTCCTGACCACCGGATTTGCACAGCAGTTGGTACCAAATGTGTCCCAGTCTGACAGTGTGATACATTGCTTCCACCGTGCAGCCTCTCTACTGTTGGTGCAGCATGCTGAGCTCACCTGTTTTTTTGCCACTGACCTGAAAGGGAAAGAACAAAAAACTGTTGGCCTTTATAGAAATTCATAGTCTGTTGAACCCTGGTGATTTAAACTAGTTTGCTTTATCCAAGTCATGTTATCAAGTATTGAAAATGCATACCAATTGAGTGCCTATTATTTCTGGTTTGTGAAAGAGACAAGGAGAAAATGTGACTTGAGGGGTTCAATGAGGGTGAAAAGAAGATACCACAGACCCCTCTGAAAATATTGCTGTGTTTATACAGCAACCAAGATGGGGTGCTCCTTGAAAAGAGCTTTCTGGTGCTCTGGCAAGGGAAGCAGGTAGGCTAACTGTAGATCATCACCTCTCCCCGTGCTCCTTCAAATCCACTCTCCAGTTTAATCCCCATCCCTGCAGCAGACCACCAACTGCTCCCTCTTCCAGGGGATCCTACAGATCTTCCCCCCAACTCACTGCTTTAGCCCAGCTCCCCCAAATCCAGCAGGCATTCTCAGGAAACAGGAAGGCCATTCCTGCCAGGGAAGCAGGTAGACTAACTGCAGATTTTCATGTCTCTCTCACTTCCTCCAAGTCCACTCCCCAGTCTCATCCCTGGCTGCTGTGGACTCTTCTTGTGGAAGGAAATGAATAAAACAGTTCAAGATATGAAAGTGGAAATAGAATAAATAGAGGAAACCCAAACTGAGGGAAATCTGGAAGTGAAAAATTTAGGAAATTGAACAGGAAACTCAGAGGAAACCTTCATCAACAGAATACAGGACACAGAAGAGAGAATCTCAGGTGTTGAAGATAGGATAGAAAAAATAGAGAAATCGATTAGAAAGTGTTAAATCTAAAACTCCTAGCTCAAAACAGCCAGGAAATCTGGGACACTGAATAGTTTAAATCCAAGAATAATAGGATCAGAGGAAGGAGAAAAAACATGGACCAAAGACACAGGAAATATTTTCAACAGCATCTTAGAAAATTTCCCTAACCTAAAGAAGATGCCTATCAAGGCACTAGAAGCATACAGAGCAGGTTGGACCAGAAAAGAAAGTCCCCTTGGCATATAATCAAAGCACTGAATGTACAGAGTGAAGAAAGAGTACTGTAAGTTAGTATGGGAAAGACTGAGTAACATATAAAGGCAGACCTATTAGAATTACACCTGTCTTCTCAGTGAAGACTTGAAAAGCCAGAAGGGCCTGGAGAGCTGTGCTGTAGACTCTAAGAGTACACAGATGTAAACTCACTTTACCCAGCAAAACTTGCAATTACTACAGATGGAGAAAACATGATATTCCATGATAAAGTCAAATGTAAGCAATATCTATCTAAAAATAGAGCCCTACAGCAGGGGCTAGAAGAAAAACTCCAACCTAAAGAGATTAACTATATCCAAGAAAACACGGAATAAATAATCCCAGACCAGCTAAATGAAAACTTGGGAAAGGCACATACACATACCCTACAACCACCAACAACAACACTGTAGCACAAATAATAAAAACCTAGAGACCAATATTAGGGTTAAAGCTGAAGATCTGAGAAACAAAGCGGCCAGCTACAAGGGCTTCTACCTCAGACTGAAAGGGTGATCCTGTCCCCACTAATCAGATTGAATCCGATTGTATCTGTCTCCCCCAAAATTCAGACTCCGAGACTGCACTGAGCTCCTTGTATTCCTTTCTCATGCTGTGATTAAAGGTGTGTCATCCCAAGTACTTGGATCAAAGGTGTGGGCTCCTGTTTCTTTTTAGATTGATTCAGTCTCAGATAGACTAGGGTGGCCTTGAACTCACAGAGATCCATCTGCCTCCATCTCCTGAGTGCTGGGATTAAAGGTGTTTATCTCCATTGCCTGGCTTCCATGGCTAACTAGTGTGGCTAGCTTTGCACTCTGATCTTCAGGCAAGCTTTATTTGTTAGATCTTAAACAAAATATCACCAAAATACACCATGTTCAAATAGGCTTCTTCACAGAGATGCAGAGATGGTTCAATATATGAAAACCTGTTGATGTAATCCACCATATACATAAACTGAAAGAAAAACAAAAACACATGATCAACTCAGATGCTGAAAAGGCCTTTGACAAAATCCAATACTCCTTCATGGTAAAAGTCCTGGAGAGATCAGGAAACATACCTAAACACAATAAAGGCAACTTACAGTAAGCCAACAGCCAACATCAAATTAAATGGAGAGGAACTCAAAGCAATTGCATTAAAATCAGGAACAAGACAATGTTATTCACTCTCTGTATACCTGTTTGTCTTATTTAGGATTTCTATTGCTGTGAATAAACACCATGACCACCACAACTGTTATAATGTAGCTCCATACAAAACTGACTCACAAAAAACAATGGGCCTCCTATATACAATGGTAAGTGATATAACCCTCTTGTATGCAAATGATAAACAGACTGAGAAAGAAACCAGGGAAATAAGACCTTTCTCAAGTCTCATAATATATATCTAATGAAGCAAAAGGCTTGTATGATAAAACTTTGTTGAAGAAAGAAATTGAATAAAATATCAGATGTTGGAAAGACCACTCATGCTCATGGATCAATAGGATTAATACAGTAAAAATGGCTATCCTACCAAAGTCAATCTACAGATCCAATGCAAACTTCTTCAAAATTCCAACACAGTTCCCCACAGGTCTTGAAAGGGTAGTTTTCAGCTTCAAGAAAAACAGGATACCTAACACTATCCTGAATGATAATAGAACTGTGAGAAATATTACTATCTTTGATAGTACTTTGGAACTATGAAAATAAAACAGCTTGGTATTGCACAAAAAACAGACATGCTGACTAATGGAACAGAACTGAAGACCCAGACATACATCCACACACCTGTGAACATCTGATTTTTATAAAGAAGCCAGAAACACTGAAAAAAGTATCTTCAAGAAATGGTTTGGGTCTAAATGGATATCAGAATGTAGAAGAATTCAAATAGATCTATATCTATCACCTTGCACAAAACTCAACTCCAAGTAGATCAAAGACCTCACCATAAATCCAGATACACTGAACCTTATAGAAGAAAATGGGGAATAGCTTTGAACACATTGGCACAGGAGACAAAAACAGTTACTGGGGCTGGAGAGATGATGGT